ACCCTAATCAAACACACCTGAATGAGCTAATCAAGGTCTTACTAGGTATACTTGAAACACCCAGGCAGGTGTGTTAAGGCAAGTTGGAGCTAAACCCTGCAGGAAAACCGGCCCTCCAGGATTGAGATTGGTGACCCCTGTTCTAAAGTAACTTTCCCCAACATTGGTCATTATTATCAGACCGGTCTGTCCTTTGAATTATCACGTGCAATAAAGCCTCAAACAAAACAAGAACTTTTCTTACCTGAAAGAAACTCAAGATTAAAACTCCAACTCCAATTCCAATGTAGTAAAGTGCAAAATTGGTCATTTCAGCCTCGATATCTACACTGTGGAGACAGAGCAGAAATATGTACAGACATAGTGACTTTATGTGTCATATTTAGAGGAAACATTTGCAAAAATTGAAATAAGTATATATTCAATGTTTTAATACATCCTTCTGCTCTTTTCTAAAACCCATTCAGTAACTTCTGGAAACAATTTAAATCAAACAAACAAACAAACAAACAAACAAACAAACAAATAAATAAATAAATTAATAAATTAATTAATTAATAATTTATTAATCTGGGGTCGCCACAGCAGAATGGACCGCCAACTTATCCAGCACGTTTTACGCAGTGGATGCCCTTTCAGTTGCAACCCATCACTGGGAAACATCCATACATGCTTATATTTATAAATTATATTTGATAATTATATAAATACTATTTATATTATATAAATATTAATACACAAACACATATGTGTGTGTATTAATATTTCTATAATATATATAGAATTTATATAATTATCAAATATAATTATTAAATATAATTTAATGCGAAATAAACATAAATAAAATAAATAGACATACTATATATGAATACTGAACATAAAAATATTACATTTATAAAAAATTCCTTTAGGAAAATTACTATGAATCTCAAAATATAATAATACATATAAATAAAATACACATATACATTTATTAGGTACACCTGTCCAACTGCTCATTAACGCAAATTACTAATCAGCCAATCACATGGCAGCAACTGAGCTCATTTAGGCATGTTGACATGATCAAGACGATCTGCTGCAGTTCAAACAGAGCAACAGAATGGGGAAGAAAGGTAATTTATGGGACTTTTTAAAATTGGCATGGTTGTTGGTGCCTGACGGGCTGGTCTGCGTATTTCAGAAACTGCTGATTTACTGAGATTTTCATGCGCAACCATCTCTAGGGTTTACAGAAAATGGCCCGAAAAAAATATATATATTCAGTGAGCGGCAGTTCTGTGGACGCAAATGCCTTGTTGATGCCGGAGGTCACAGGAAAATGGCCAGACTGGTTCCAGCTGATAGAAATAAAACAGTAACTCAAATAACCACTTGTTACAACCGTGATATGCAAAAGAGCATCTCTGAACACACAACATGTCCAACCTTGAGGCAGATGGGCTACAGCAGCAGAAGACCACACCGGGTGCCACTCCTGTTAACTAAGAACAGGAAACTGAGGCTACAATTCACACAGCCTCACCAAAATTGGACAATCGAAGATAGGGAATCGTTGCCTTGTATGTTAAGTCTCGATTTCTGCTGTGACATTCTTAAGGTAGGGTTAGAATTTGGCGTCAACAACATGAAAGCATGGATCCATCCTGCCTTGTATTAACAGTTCAGGCTGCTGATGGCAGTGTAATGGTGTGAGGGATTTTTTTCTTGGGCAACTTTGGGCTTCTTAGTACCAATTGAGCATCGTGTCAATGTCACGGCCTACCTGAGTATTGCTGCTGACCATGTCCATCCCTTTATGACCACAGTGTAACCATCTTCTGATGGCTACTTCCAGCAGGATAACACACCATGTCATAAAGCGCAAATGATTTCAGACCGGTGTCTTGAACATGACAATGCGTTCACAGTACTCAAATGGCCTCCACAGTCGCCAGACTTAATCCAATAGAGCACCTTTGGGATGTGGTGGAACGGGAGATTTGCATCATGGATGTGCAGCTGACAGATCAGCAGCAACTGTATGATGCTGTCATGTCAATATGGACCAATATGGAGGAATGTTTCCAGTACCTTGTTGAATCTATGCAACGAAGGATTGAGGCAGTTCTCAGTTGTGAAGCCAAAAAGGGGTCCAACCCGGTACTAGTAAGGTGTACCTAATAAAGTGGCCATTGAGTGTATATTTAAAATGTAAAATAAATCTAATGAAATATCTGAAAATATCAATACATTTAAATAACCTATAGATTGGGGTGGACACTTTTGTAGACGGGTTTGTAGTTCTTTACTCACCCACAGTATATGGTGGTGTTGTCAGGCCGTTGGACTGCAGAACCGTTCATCCAGCTGATGGTGTTGTTGATGCAGGTTTTGTTGGGGTCTGTGAGCTCCAGAATTTCCACCTCATACTCCACGAATGTGTTGGTCATCATGCCGTACACCAGCAACATGAGAGGGGTTGCAGCACCGTGAACCAGAGAGCAAAAGCTGCCCACAACCATCATCAAGACTTCCCTCCATGTGGAGAAGCGGAACTGGACATTACAGGGGAAAAAAAAGTATTAGATTTTATTTTTTTCGCTCTTTCGTTCACTATTTTTTCCTTCGGCTTAGTTCTGATTTATATATATATATTTTTTAAACATTAAAACTGTTAGGGTTGTTGAACATTGGAAGTTCTAAAGCAGCTGTTTTCTTGAAAAAGGCGTGATAGTGTCATTAGAACCTGAATTGGAAATGACCTTATTTTAATATAGTCAGTCTGAGGTGGGCCGGTGTAAGGCTTAACCTCCAGGGCTGAAAAGGAGTCCCACTCCAGCCTTGGCATTCACTTCTTACTTCTATTTTTATTAAATATATTTATTATCTGTTTTATATCCTGTCTTTGTCATTATGTTGCACTGTAGAAGCTCTGTCACCAAAACAAATTCCTCGAATGTATGAACATACCTGGCAATAAAGCATATGTCTTACGAGTGGATACCCATCACTGGGAAACACCCATACAGTCTTGCATTCACATACATACACTACGGCCAATTTAGTTTATCCAATTCAACTATACTGCATGTCTATGGACTGTGAGGGAAACCGGAGCATCCGGAGAAACCCACACCAACACAGGGAGAACATGCAAACTCCACTCAGAAACGCCAACAGGCCTAGCCAGGACTCGAACCAGTGACCTTCTTGCTGCCCAACTTCAGTTGTTGAAAACATCCACTTATTAATCTAATATTTTGATCCAGGTAATGAAAAAACGTTGTAGAGTACTACTGAGATGCTTACCAGCTGAAAGAATCCGACAGTCGGTGCTTTTTCTTTTTTTTTGACTTCACCATTCCTTCAAACACAGAAATATTTTAGAAACTGTAGCTGTAGTGAAACCTAAATCAGATTATTATTGATATTTTGGTCAAGCTAAAATAGATTTTTACAAATTTACTGTTATATTAGTGCTGTCAAATGATTAATCACAATTAATCAAATTCAAATTTAAAGCTTGTATTTACTATATATATATATATATATATATATATATATATATATATATATATATATATATATATATATATATATATATATATATATATATATATATATATATATATATATGTATGTATGAGTGTGTGAGTGTGAGAGAGTGTATATATATATATATATATATATGTAAGATAGAAATAAATATAAAAAAAAAATATACAATTAGATAGATATATACATATATATATATATATATATATATATATATATATGTGTATATAAAAAAGAAAAAAAAA